CAAAATAGTAAAAGGAAAATTATGGGATTTAAAAAGCTTAAATAATCAATGAGAATATTTTTTGAAGTTAACTAATGAAATGCTAACGGATGGGGTCTTTATCGCAACATAAAAGTTTAGGATGTCATTGTCGCAAATGAAAGCACAAGGAGTATTTGCCATTGGGCGTCTTTGTAATTTACCCTTTTTTCAATTCAAATATGCGGCAGTGGATGGGAGTTGAAATGGGGACAAAGCTGATGAATGCATAGGTCTATTTAAGTTAATTGTTTTTTTTATTACATGCATGTGATATAATTTGGTCTTATCAAGCCTGATTATTAGTCAATTAGATCATGGGTCTAAAATTGTAGACCTTACAGGGTTTGGTTTGGGTATGAAAATAGTGCATTTTCTTATTGGTTTAGGACGACTCTACCATGTCCCAAACCAAACCCAACCCAATGACAACTCTATTTGGGGGTAATGACATCGGGATTTTGTATTTAATTTCCAACTTCCTTCCATCAGCAGCATTTACATGTTGGGAAGTTTTTTCAAAGTATTTGGAAGGCATAATTCCTTCCCTTATGCAGTTTACAACAACACCTAAATCAATTAAGGCTATAACTATGAAACTAAATCTTTAATTTTAATAGTTATTCTTGAGTACCATTTTTGGTATTTTACCTCTTCAATTGAATACATAGATTCTTCATCATTTTCCACAAATTCAACGGGTTCTACACTTTCTATTTCTGAAGATCTACTAGATCCATCTTGGTGTGTGAAATCTTTATAAGATTCTAATATCTCAATTCTTCATTTTAGAGATTTAACATCGATTTTGAGGTTGTTGTTCTATTGTTTTAGGTCTATCAAAGTAGGGGACCGAGAGGAAGTTCCTTGAGTTTTTTTTAATAATTTCATTGTACGATATTATATTTTATTTTTTAAACAAATATTTTTTAGAGTTTTTGTTTTTTATTCTTTTCTCTATTACCCTGTATTGCCATTAGTAAATGTTTCGTCTTAGTTTCCTCATTAGGAATATCTTCTAGTATTTCTAATAAATGTTGTGAGCAATAAATTGGGCAATAATTGCGATCGACATAGGGTTATGATAAACAGTAGTATAATAATAGAAATTAAACTGAGGGAGGCAATATGCTATGCATGAAAATAGTAACAAAATAGTGAAAACAACAAAGCAGTATGATTTGATTTAAAGAAATAACATATTACAAAAATATTCAACTTACAAAATGAAAAGCGCACCGGAAGCACACTATAAGCAAAACTTAACAATTACACTCGACAATCCTCACAAGAATTTTCATATGACATGCACTTAGAAAAGAAAATGCTCACAAACACTTGGAATAAGAAGGCTAGAAAGAAAACACTCTTAGACATAATTTTCATTCGTGTTTTGGAATGAGAAGGCGATCCTTATTTAAAGGCATGAGAGCAGCTTCAAGAAATATCTTTTTAGATCTGATCTTATCTTGGGGGCATCTTTAATTAAGATGCTTGCCTCTTTTTCTTTTGTCTTTTTAGGCAGAGAGATGAATTGGAGATGCTTCTTTATCTCTTTACTATGGAAAGATGCTCCTTTATTTTCAACTTTTGAGGTGGCAAATTTTACTGTTGAAGATAAGGTCAAACAATTTTAAAGTGGACAGATATCTATCAAAAGCCAAATTCCTTCTTAATCGAGACCCTTAGTGGGGACTGAATGTAGAGGTGTCCACAGTTCGGTTAACTGAACCATGAGCATATTTTGCAAACCGAATCGATGGTACTGGTTTTTTCATTTCTCCAAACCAAAACCGAACCGGTACCACCGGTTAACCAGTTCATCGGTTTTGGTTTTTATCCGGTTTCGGTTCTTTGGTTTTTTATATTTATAATATATATTATATAAATATAAGTATAAGATTATATTATAAATAATAAATGATATATAAATATAATATAAGTATATATTATATATATAATGAATATATATTTATGTATAATATATAGAAAATATGTGGCATATATTAAAAAAAAATATATAGTATACATATATATACTGGTCAATTTGGTTAACTGCTGGTTTTTTTGTAGGTTAACCGAAAGCTGAACTGGTCTTTCAGTTTTTCAAAAATCCAAACTGAAACTGAACCGATTGGTTCGGTTAACCGCATTTTGCGGTTCGATTCGATTTTTTCGGTTTTTCGATTTTTCATGGACACCCCTAATTAAAATACCGAACACTTTCACTCTCAATACCTTTAGATATTCCTTTCCTTTTATCTTTCATCTTTTCTATGAACTGAAGGGACATCTCTTCGAGCTAAATGGGATCCAAGTCAGGAAACTTACTTTTGAGCCTTTTCCACATAGGACTTGAATAGGGTCTAAAAAACCTCGTTTTCTTATGCTGTCTTAAGAGCTAGTGTGAGGTTGGATTTATTCCACCACTTAATTTCAATAATTATATCAATGGATGGAAGAATCCACGAGACATCCAAATGATAACTCCATTTCAAGATACAAGGGATGCAATATATTTTAAAGAATTCAAACTCTGAGTAGTTTCTTCCTTGCCCAAAATTTGAATATTTATCTAATAATTCATTATGAGAGAAGATATTGTCTAGTGCTCCCCACGTAGTCCACTAAATATAGACCCAATATGGATATGGGCCCTGAAACTCTTCAAAGAACCAAATAACCACGAATGTTTGAAGATAGAATTTTGAACCAAAAATACCTTATATGTACCAAGTATCCTGATAATCCCAGTAATTGAACATTCTGGGTCTCCTATCTATTGGCTTGGTGATTAATATTAGTTTGCTGGAGTCACCCCTTGATGCCTTTGACATAAATTTAATTATTACTAGATTTGAATAAGCTATTTCTAATTTACTAGGGTCCCTGTAGTAGTGCTGAATTCTAGCAGAACCCGTATGAAGGAGAATTTCTTCATAGTACTTTTGGTCTTTATTCAGACCACATTATGAAATGATTACCATCAATGTATTCTAAGGCAAGACGTTGAAGGGCACCTTTTGGATTTACATGTATGAGAGGATACCATGACTACTTTTTTCACGAGATATTGTTATCACAATGTCTGAAGAGTTGATTATGTACTGGCTAGAATATCCTCATCAATCGCCAGAGCGCGTTCCCTAATTAAGAGAGACGCACTGGGGGATTGATAAGTCCTATAAGAGTTTGATTCGAATTGAGTTCGAGGGCTGGACTAATTAGTCATTCTTTGATGCCTTTGATTAGGACTTGGAGGGAGATCTTGTCTCCTATTGGCCATTTTTAATTAGATGTCATTGGAGGAATTCCCTGGTCAATAAGTTTGGCAAAGCATTATTAGATCCTTTAATATACTTAATTTCAAAACTGAAAATTGATAAGATAGCTTGCCATCTGGCAAGAATCTGTTTTGAAACCAAATTTTTAACGTCTTTTTCAAGAATTTATTTTGCAAATTTACAATCAATTTCAAAGTAAAATGTTGATTTATCAAATCTCCTTAAAATTTTGAAATGCATAAAACAATGCCTAGCATCTCCTTTTTGACAGTAGAATATTTTTTCTAGGTCTCATTCCAGGTACCAAAGGTGAAACAAATGATTTCAGCTTTTCCATTCCTATGTTGCTTTAGGATTCCTCCATATCCAATTTCATTAGCATCGGTTTCTACGATCTTAGGGATCTTTGGATGAGGGATATTGAGACATGGAAGGGTTTTTACCCTATACTTTATTCTACTCATTGTTTGAGTGAACTGATCATTCCACTTTAGATGACTTTTCTTTAGTCTTTTTTGGAGCAGTTGTCGATCTCTAACCAGGTCTTTGTAATAGTTTGCTATATAGTTAAGGCTACCTAAAAATCTTTGGAGTTGGGTTTTATCCTTAATTTCATTGGGAAATTTATCTGCAAATTCTACCACTCTCTGAATAGGGACTATTTTCCCTTTGGAGGTATTTCAGGTTCCTCCTCAAAGAGTAAGTCTACTGGGGCATGCGTAGGGTAATAAGGCTTTTTGCTTTTATATGAGAGCTTATTTAGCTCCATTGATGGTGCATCTGATTTTGTTTCTATCTCTTATTATTCGCTCAATAACTCAATGAGCTTATTTATCTCTTTGAGTTATTGTTAAATCAAATATATAAATGCATACAAACTACACAAAATAAATTAGAAAATTCATAAATAAACTATTAATATATGAAGAATAAAGTATAACAATAAAGGTTGAATTGAAACTAATACATCTAACATACAACCCACATTGAGCATTTTGGAAAATTTATCCTAACCATAATGTCAATTAACGGATTTGGATTTGAGTGTTGGAGTTATGGAGTATAAAAGCAGATGGAGTATAAAAAGAGAAAAAGTAGGTACCCTACCTTTCCCTACCTTTTTTTTTTATTTCAAATCAAACACAACAAAAGGGTTCTGTCATAATTAGGGGATGGCAATTTGTCTCCAGTACCTAGTCTCCCCAACCCCATGGACCCATGGAAATTGTCTTGTAAGGATGGGGATGGTATTATAGGGATCCCCAACCAGGGACAGAATGGGGAGTGTATATATAATATTATTTATATTATATATATTAGAATATATTTAAAAAATTATTTATATTTTAAGACTTTTTTATTAAATAATTATTATATTCAAAAAATATTTTTAATTAGAAAATTTTGGAAATTCGGATCCCTATGGAAAATCCGTGTCCATCAAGGATCGGGAATGAAGACCGATAGGGATTGGGGGTCGGGGATGAAGATTTGTTTCAGAATTGGGTTGGGTATGGGAACATAGTCTCCCTGTTGTGTAGCCTCGTGAAGCGAAAAAAAAAAAAAACAAATGAACTAGGCCAGGTTTGGACGCAAAAGTCAAAACCTAGCCCAAGCCCGAAAATTTACCGGCCGACCCGGTCCGGGCTGGAAATGATCGCTCCATTGGCCCATTCTCGCCTATCCGCTGATCCGCTCCCAGAAGGCCAGAATGCGAAGACGTTGCGGCTATCGTGGAACAAACAGAGCCGCGAAGGAAGGGTAGTGGCTACTCTCAACTCTACCCTCCGGTCGCTTATTCATTCGTTCAGCTTGATTAACCAAAACCAGGAAAACGAAAACAACATTGTACTGCTTTTTTTCCCCTCGAATGGCGCAGTTTGCATTGTCTGCTTCAGCAACACTGACGCCCTTCGAACGTGAGTTCTTGTTCTGGCTTGAAATTTCTTATATTCTTCTTGCCCAGAATTTATTTGATGTATCTTTGATGGGGTTTCCTTATTTCTCTGTAATCATGCTACTTTGAATTTGTCGAGGCATTATAAAGGATGTTGAAACACTGTAAATTGCCATTTATCTGTTTGAGAAGTAGTTTAATTCTTAATGGGCTTAAAATGGGTTCCTTGCTCTGAAAATATGGTTCTGTCAACGAATAAAAAGGAGTAGGAGGTCGAACATCTTTTCAATTTCTATTAACCAGGATGTTTTTGTTTAATCAATTGTTTAACAATTAGGATGTTTGTTAAGAAATATGTTCTTTGTATTGCATTCATAAAGTTGAAGCTGAACATCAATTGAGAAATGCTATCTGGACTTCATTCACGCGGAACAAACTTGCATTGTAAAGGGGATGAAAGATTGCAAATGATAAAAAGAAATAGATGAAAAATTTCTGCTCGAGAGTTTACTTGATGCATGTTAATGAACCATTCATGCATGCCATGGTCATACCAGTGGTACTGGAAGATCGTTGGGCACCAAGTTTTGTCTTACTGATCAGAAAGAGAAAGAAAAAAGAATTACCACTGATTGGAAAAGAAAGAAAAAAAAGCTTATATCTTGTTTATATCCCTAATAGGCAATTATAAACGTCTTTATTTAGATTAAACATTGTTTGTTGTATCATGATTCATGTCTCAATCTTGGTGTACTTACACACCTGGATATCTAAGCAAGGACAGTTCAATGTAAAAAAGTGGCACTGAGCTGCCAATTACATATAGTAGGTGTATTGTATTTTAAAAAAGGCCATTACCCAATGTTGGGCTCAGCTATCTGGGGTCTTGGGAGGGGCAGACTGGAAGTGGTCCTAACCTTTTATTTTTTGGACAAAGTGGCTGCTGTCAGATTCAAACCCATGTCCTCACGCTTGCTAGCGCGAGATTTTACCATTACACCAAGGAAAAGCCCCTATAGTAGGTGTATTGTATTAAAGCATAAAATGTAAAAAGATGTAAATAAAAGTGCTCAGACTTGCAAAGACAACTTTGGAGCTATGCAACATCCAAGGATGAGTCCCTTATACTATACAAGTAAATAATCAACTTGGAAAGGAGATACCTCGCAAAAGCTGATTCCTTGTGGTTACTCTTCTTAAATGCTGTCAACTGGTGAGTTAGTGGATCAAGGAACCTAGTGGAAAGAGGTATTCACTTTGGATACCAATGATCTTGTCTTTCAAATCTAAAGGCATGGCCTCAAAGACCGTTTTCACTTTCCTATCTCTCATCCTCTAATCACCATTTGATGATCTACTTCAATGCATATCTTCTATTAGCCCAAAGATGCAGATAACTGTTTCTGTGAAAGTACACTCCATTTTATATTGGTTCAGCTACCTTCGTAACTGATTCACAATAGATTTACAACTTGTCAATTTGGTAGCTAGATTAGTTAATCCCAGCAGTCTCTGAGTTGTTGGCTCAGGATACTGACATGGCCTCCTTCTCCTCCTAGAATACACTGACAACTTGCTGGCCTGGCCCTCTGGATCCCTAACAACACCCTTCTGTTTTCTCTTGGGTCTAGATTTTCCAGGGTCAATATGATCACTGTGTGCTTTTGGGGAGAAGATCTATTGATAGTCCACATTCTGATACATGATAATCAAATCTACTGTAACAATTTGAAGTCTATTAAGGAAGGAGGATATTGGTAGGTTAACTATTTCATCCCAATTCATGATGTAATTAACTAAACAAACATGAAAAAAACACAGAATCAGTTTTAGATGGAAGGCTAAGGGAAATTAGCCTTGCCCTTCTATGAAAGTGGTAATTGAGATTCCTCCAAGAGAAAACTGGGATTTATAGCATTTGATAATCTGCATTATATAGCGTTGCATCTGGGTTCAAATTTGGCATTGCAAAAAAGAGTATCCTTTCTTGCCTGTAGAAGTATAGGTTCATTTCTTGGAGGGGTAATATGATTTGCCTCTAGATTCTTTGAACTCCATTTCATCTTCTGTTTCATAGTTAAAGTATTCCAAAGGCTAAGGGCTTTGGCCCGCTTTTAGTTGAGGAAGATTAAAACAATGCTATTAGGTAATGCTATGCTTATCTTATGAGGGAAGTATTGGTTGGTAAATACTATGCTAACTGGACATGCAAAGGCATGCCTGGATATAATATTGGATGTGAAGTTTACACTACAAAATGAAGTATTTGACATGCTATGGCACCTGTGTACAGATATCCAGGTATCATAGTAAATTTTCAGTTCCTCTTAGATGGATTCTGAAGGAAGATGATACTGTACCTGACTTTTTGGCTTAAGATGTGGTATGGGTTAGAGATTGCAATGCGGTAACTTTATGTTGTTCTAAAGAGATACTTGGGGGAACTTAAAGTTTATTTTCCCTTTTTGTTTGTGATGCCTTTTTGCCTCTTAATGATTTATAATATCACTTATAATAAAAGGACACAAAAATTAGTTCTTTTGTTCACTTGTCAAATCGAAACCTATTTTTGGGATTTTGGTTCTTGTAGCAAACCTAGAGACCTTGGGATATCTGAACCCATGTCTTTAATTATGATCTGGAGGAATTCAATGATCCAAACAAACGAAAAAAAAGAAGAAGAAAAGAAAAGATCTGGAGGGGTTCTCGTGTACTATAGTATGTGACATTAGGGTGTAATATAATGAGCCTAGCAGGTCTTTCTAGCTAATGGGATCTTGAAAATCCTTTGCCAAATACTTATAATATGCTTAAAAAGAGAAAAAAAAGATAAAAAATTTCCTATCGTTTTGTCTTTTGTTTGGCTAATGGGGAACCAATAATCATTTATCAAAAAAAAAAATGGGGAACCAATAAATATCTATATCAGAGGAATGGAATTTTGTGATTTTTTTTGGACTGGCAGTATAATGTTCAAGGATGATCCTTCATCCTTCATCAAATTTAAAGCATTTTGACATGAATACTTACTTGCATTATTTAAATCTAAGTCAAGTGAGAAGGTATCTAGTGTGGGAACACCTTCTTCTACTGGGTTAAACTGGAAATTGGGCTTCAGAAGAGGCTTAAGGGAATGTGAATGTATATCTTTGATTCACCTTCTTGACTTTTTGGGGGAAGCCTTCCTGGACCCAGACCTTGAGGACTTGAGAATATGGTCAGCCTCACTAGGTGGCCTCTTTACCTGTTCCTCTTTTTTTCCAAGTCCTTACCTTTCCCACTTATCAAGGGGTGGACTTCCTTGTTAAAGAAATTTGGAGTAAACCTATTCCTTCAAGCTTTCTGCTGGGAATTTTTCCTCGGAAAGGTAAAGACCTGTGATATGCTACAAAGAAGAAGGCGTTTTTCTTGCCTTTCTCCTCATTGGTGCTTCACATGTAGGAGTAGTGGTGAGACCCTCTCCCATCTACCAATCTCATTTGCCTTTGTGCATAGAATTTGGGAGTTTTTCTGTGCTCTTTTTGGAGGGGGAGTTTTTCATGTGCCTTGGTGGACATCTTCAGTCCTCACTTTTTGTGACAGCCAAAGAAAAGAGGGAGAATACTCTGGAAAGCTACTAAGGTAGCAGTTAGTTGGGTTGTTTGGGAAGAAAGGAATAATAGAATATTCAATGGAAAAAGCAGAACCTCTGAGGAGGTGATAGACAACATCAAATTGAAGGTAGCACTACGGATCAAGACTTTGGATAGCTTCCAAATGTTCTCAGTCACTGATGTTCTTAGAGCCTGGACTGAGGTAGCACATTCTTCAAGAGAAAAAAGAAAAATAAGAATGGAGTGGAAATCCCGAGAAGACAACAAAGTAAAACTGAACTTTGATGGGAGCTCTTATGGTTTGGCAGGAATAGGAGTAATCAGAAATTTTGAGAGTAGAATATTGGTTCTATTTTCAGGGCCAATTGACATGGGTAACTCCCTAAAAGCAGAATTATTGGCATTGCTGCAAGGTCTTCGGTTAGCAAAGCAACTGGGTTTTAGACAGGTGGAGGTAGGAGGGGACTCAAAGGTAGTTATCTCATGGGCTAATTGCGGCAGAATATCCCTTGGACTCTCAAACATGTTTTAAGGGAAGTTGAAAGGATTGTGAAGGATATGAATGCAGAATTCAAGTGGGTAGAAGGAGTGCAAATTTGCTAGCTGACTCCCCTTCCAAACAAGGGGTATTCAAGGAACAACTATTTTGGGCTTCTATGTAACTTTGATTTTGATAATTGGGTGATGACTCTTTTTCCATCAAGTTGTACTAATCTTATTTATATTCCATATTAATAAAATTAATCTTATTGCTAGTTGTTATTTCAGTAGCTTCAGTAGTTCGAACCAGAAGAGAGTGAAGGAGAAAGAGCAGAAGAAGAAGAATCAGTCGAACTTGGTAGCCTAAACCCTACCAATCGAACATAATATGGATTAGGGGTTCTTAATTAAAGTACAATGACTAAATTGCCCCCACTTAAGTATGGGACGAGAAGTCTAATTAGAACTGCCACATCAACACATAACTTAAACTGAATGAAAAGACTAACCTATCCCTCATTCGGCTAACTCTAACACTCCCCCTCAAACTGGAGAATATATGTCATATAATCCTGGCTTGTTACATATATAGTTCACTCTCCCTGAGCTTAAACCTTTTGTAAACAAATCTGTCCACTGATCACCTGAGCCCACATGTTCCGTGCTTATCTCTCCAGTAAGGACTTTCTCTCTCACAAAGTGGCAATCAATCTTTATGTGCTTTGTTCTCTCATGGAAAACAGGATTAGATGAGATGTGAATTGCAGCTTGATTATCACAGTACAATCTCATAGGTCTGTCCATTGAGAATCCAATTTCTTGTAGGAGGTTTCTCAGCCATACTAATTCACATGTAGTGTGTGCCATGGCTCTATATTCGGCTTCAACACTATTCCTTGCCACAACAATCTGCTTCTTACTCTTCCATGTCACTAGATTTCCTCCAAGG